AGGCCAGTCAGGGAGGGCTCCCCGGAGGAGGAGGAGGAGGCCAAAGAGGCAGAGTCTGGGGAGTGCAGGGAAGGCGAGCGGCCCGAATGGACACGTGTGAGAGGGGGCCAAGCCTCGCAAGGCAGCTGGGAGGCCGGTGGTGGACGTTTTTAAAGGCCCAAGTGAGGCGTCTACACCCTTAATCCCTGAGATAGTCGGGAGTCCCTGAAGTTTTTGAACCTAAGCGTGTCGGGGTCAGACCCGAAGGCAGCTGAGTGCAGGACAGACGGTAGAGGGAGAGGCTTGAGCCAGAGGATCCCACAAGCCATTGCAACAGTCCAGGTGCGAGAATCGGCGGGGTAACTGTTTGGGGAGGGGGGAAGCCTGCTCTTCCCTCACCCCCTTCTGCTTGTCCTGTCCCCCCTGACCTGCCTGGCCCGACCACAGCCTCTGTCCTGGAGGGGCAACGGTCATTCTCAGATTCCCATCTGAAGCCCCGGAAATGAAAGAGGAGTGGTCATGCAGTGGGATAGATGCCTGGCTGGTCTGTGCCAACCAGCCAGTCCCAGAGAGGAAGGAGGCCTCAGAAACAGGGAGGGGGCAGATGCAGTGGCCAGCCCTGCAGCCTGGAACAGGGAACAGAGCTGGGCAAAGGCCCGGTGACAGAAATCTGATGGGCTTGCAGCTGGGGACTGGGTTCGAGTCTCTGTACACCATCTCCTTACTCCTTGGGTAACCTCTTGATCCCTGAGGCATCCCCTAATTCTGGGAGTCCATGGTCCTCCCCATCCCCCACGCCCCTCCCTGGAAAGTCCCAGTGGCCCAGAGAAGTCCACCCCCTGCTTGCCCCCTGGCTGACGTCTATCTGACAAGATGCAGGCGATTCAGAGCCCCACCCTCCCCTCCCTTCCAGGAGCCCCAGGTTTTCCAAGTCCTCTCCTAAAGAAAGGCAGATTTTGGGGCAGCTAGGTGGCGCAGTGGATAGAGCACCGGTCCTGAGTTCAAATCCAGCCTCAGACCAAACACTTGACACTTACTAGCTGTGTGACCCTGGGCAAGTCAGTTAACCCCGGGCAAGTCAGTTAACCCCAATTGCCTAAAAATAATTAAAAAAAAAAAAGGCAGATTTCATCATTCGGGGCCAAATCACGTCCCCTTGTGGATAGAGCGGGCAGGGCCCAGCGACAGAGCAGAAAGGGGCCTGATGTCACCATCCCGGCCACACCAGAGGATCAGGCAGGACAGGGTCCGCGGCAGCCTCTGCAGTCTCCCCCCATCCCGGACCTCTGTTTCCCCATGTGTAAAAAGAGGGCTTGGCCTCTGCGGGCTCCTCCAGCAGCGGGCAAGCCCGTGATCCATTCAGCAAAGCCTTAGGCGAGGCTTTCCAGGGAGAGGCTCCCCTGGAGATGCCCACGTGAGGCCCAGAGGCCCAGCCCGTGCAGCCTCGGGAGGGCCTCACAGAGGAGGTGACTCTGGACAGAAACTAGGAGGAAAAGGAAAAGGGAGAGCAGAGAGCCTAGCCAGCCAACAGGCATTTTAGGGTGCCTGCTGTGCACCACACACTGTGCTCACTGCTGGGAACAGAAAACGAACTATTGGGTGAAATAACCAGGCCCACCAGGAATGGGAGAGTAGATGCAAAGGAACCTCTTGGGGAGGATTTTGGAGGTGGAGAAGTCAAAGTGGGCTTCCCGGAGGAGCCCGCAGAGGCTGACCCAGCCCCCCTGTGCCCCTCTGGCTGGGCCCGGCCTGGCACCACCACTCAGGGCTCTGTCTCCCATCCTCAGGTGTCCTCCTGGACCCGTCAGGCACCTGGGGGAGGGGCGGGTCCCTGCCTGTCCCACCTGGAACCTTTGATCTGTCTCCCAATCAGGCTCAAGGTTGGGCTGCCCTTGCAGGTGTTCCCAAGGCACTAGGACTGGCCAAGGACACCAGGCTGCCAAGCAGCTCCCTCCCCTGGTCACCCCAGCGCACGGAGGGAGAGGCTCCCGCCTTGGAGATGCCCCTGGGTGTAGAGCACAGGCAGCCGAGTTCAAGAGCTGGGGGAGACGGGGCACACCGGGGGCAGGGGCTCTGGGATTCAGAGGGCGATTCTTGCCTTGCAAGTGTCCTGGCATCGAGCACCTTGGGAGAGCGTCCGGGGTTGGGTCCCCTGCGGGGCGGCCAGTCCGGCCAGTGACAAGCATCCCTCCCTCCACCGCCGGCAGCATGCCGCTCGTCCCAGGGACGCAACGATTCCTGGTTACGGTTCAGCAGTCCAGCCTCCCCGCGCCGCGGCACCCCCAGAAGACTCCCGATCCCCGGGAAGTGCTCGTCACCCCTCCAGGACACCCCGACCCCTGCTGGGAGCCCACCCTCCCGCTCTCCCACAACAGGTGTTCAGAGTGGCCCTTCCCAGGGAGGGCAGCAACTTGGCTCCCGCCCCAGAGAACAACAACAGGGGTCTTTCTGACTCCGAAGCCAGCAGAGTCGGTATCACACACCTGATACGCGTCAGCTCTCGGCAAGAGGCAGACGGGGCCTCTTCTACCTGGGAGACGCGATGTCCCGGCCCCTCAGCAGGGCCCGACACCGACCGGTGCGTGCACGCCCGCGCATGGCCCCGCATGGCCCTTCCCCCGAGCACGAGGAGCTGGCCCCGGACCCTGCCGCGGGCTGCACCGCCCCTGGGGGCTCTCCCGGCCGAGGCCGAAGGGGTGAACACTCAGGGTGACGGTTTTCTCAGGCGCGGCTGGACCCTTCCTCTGCCTCCACTTCTGCCCACGGTCCTTTGTTCTCAAAGCATGAAGCACCATTTTGGCGGGGTCAAGGGGACACGCTGGGAAAGCCTGGGCACGAAACAAGTCGCGGTCCAGTGACCAGGAGGGCCGCCCGGTGTACTTGTTAGGGTTTCTAAAGAACGCGCCCCTCTCATTCAATCCTCCCAAAGCCATCTTAAAGAGGGCACAGACGCACCTTGTCTCCTGTCCCTCAGCTACCATGTGCCAGATGCTGTTTTCCTGTCGTCAGGTTCAGCACTCCCTGGGGACGCAAAGGAGTCGGGCGGACTCTGAGTTCAAATTCAGCCTCAGACATTTACTAGCTATGTGACTGAGTCACTGAACCTGCTTGCCTCTGTTTCCTTAACTGTAAAATGGAGGAGAGAGTTGTGGGGAGGCTCCAGGGAGATATTCACAAAAAGCAAATAGCAGAGGACCTAGCACACCGCAGGCGCTACATAAACGCTCATTCCCTCCCCTCCCTCAGACTGATGCATGGGGCAGCCCAGCAGGGAATGGGATAATGGAGTAGAGCCAGGTGACAAGTCTGTACTAAGGAGTAAGATGGCAGAGCAAAGGGAAGAGGGGATGGACCTCGTAACTGGACTACATGGACCTGGAGGGCCCCAAACGGTAAACACCAATGATGGGGACGTGGGAGAGCAACGGGGCATCACCAGCTGCCAGGAGGCGGGCAGAGAGAGACACAGGCTTGGGGAAAGAGATAAGCAAGCCTCTGGGGTGGAAGGGACCTCCACAGCACAACTGACTTCCTCACCTCAGGTCACATGGGCGCTGTGTGACAGGGCTGGGGCTCAGACCCAGTGCCACTGGCTCTCCAGAGACGCTCTATGGCTCGGGTCTGGCATCCAGGCAGGCGTCATTAGTAGGGGTAAGGAGCAAGCCTGCTCTGGAGACCTCCCAGGGTTGGGTGCAGGGGCCAAGCCATGGCAAGCGTATGGTTTCTATCCCATGACTCCAAGGCGGTAAGACACATCAAGATCTAGAGCCGGTGCCCGGTTCCAAACTGAGTCTCTCTCTTGCACCCGCTGTCACCTTCCTCTGGCCCTCAGTATTTTTCCATTTTTGGTTGGTCCTGAAAACAGGTCGAACGACCCATTGCCACACGGTCGTGTTAGACCAAGAGGATAGCTCATCACAGCTGGCGGCTTCCGAGTAATCTGAATTACCTGCCAATTAAGCTGACAGCTCCCACCTGAGGTTTCATTAATCTGGGCTGGGCATCACCACAGAGGGCAGATTCCCACGGGGAAGTCACTGAGCAAGAGACTGGGCAGAGCAGAAAGCAGATCTCATCCCTTGCCCCCCGGGCCCCCCAGGCACAAGCACATAGACCATCGCTGGTCAGGACTGGGGAAGGCCTCCTAAGCCATGGGGGGATGGGTGGGGTCCCCCGCTGCTCACTTTAGCGAGGTGGGACTGCAGCTCTCTGGATCTTCCAATGCAGGGACAGGCCACAAGAAGGCAGAAATGCAGAAGCACAGCCCCTCCCCCCAAGAACCACAGCGCACAGTGGTGCTCATGTTTCACAACTTTAATAGAATACCCTAACTATTCTGTACAAATTGAAAACACTGTCTATTCTTAAGTTACAAATGTGTATTGTTTCAGGTAAGGCTGGAGCATTCTACACGCCTGGTCACAGTGTTGAGAAAGCTGCTAATCAATGGAGGCTGGAGATTGGCATCAGGGGCTGAATAACTAGAAAAGGTGCACCCGGAGTCCTACGCACACGCCCGCCCGCCCAGGAGCACATCTACGTCCAGCAAACCTGCCCCCGTCCTCCGCAGCACGGGGGCCTCGGTCTCTGCTCTGGGAAGAACATAAGAGCCCCTCTTCCCTGGACAGAGGCACCAGATCTTTCGTCACACAAACATGGTTTCAGAAATGAGCGTGAGCCCAAGTTCAAAGTACATACAAACACGAGGAAATAAATAGGAAGATGACCTGCCTGAACTCCCTGCCCTCCCCCCCGCCCCCCGCCCCCCGAGCAAACATGGCTTTACTCTACTTGGCAGCTCTGAGATGATTGGGATAAAGAGGCCATTAAAGCAGGCGAGGGCAGGGAGGAGGATGTGCGTATGTGTGTGTGTGGCGGGGGGGGGGGGGGGGGGGGGGGGGGGGGGGGGGGGGGG